CCCCCCCCCCAAGAGAGGAAGATCTTATCTCCTAAGATCCAGAAAGCTATAAAAACCTGCTTTGGCCTCAGGTGAAGGGTTGATGTTTTTCACTGTTTAATGATCCCTGTTTTGTTTTGTAGATTTTGTTAGCATTCGATTGGTTTAATGTTTTACCTTTTTTAATGTTTTTGTTTTGTTTTGTATGCCACCCAGAGTCTACTGGGGTTGGGTAGCCAATGAATATAAATAAACAAACAAATAAACAAATATTAAGCATAGCCTTTTACTTGTCATCCATTCAGATCTTCAGGAGGAAGCCAAAACAGTAGGACCATGTGTGTTTCCCATCTAATTCATTCCTTATGGGAGTTTTCCCATGTTTCCTAGAGATAACAAGGGCTGGGGGCTCTTGTCTGCGTAACCTCTCCTCTGCTATTAATTATGGGCCATAGCTTAAGACTGCAGCAACTAAAAAGGCCAGTGCAGTCCTGGGCTGCATTAATGATAGCATTGCGTCCACATCGCAAAAGATAGTACTTGCTGTCCTCTGCAATGAGTAGATTGCACTTGGGAGTCTTGTGTCCAATTCTGGGTGCTGCATTTTAAAAGGGCCACGGGGAAGCTGGAGTAAGTTCAAAGAACTGAGGGGTGTTTAAGCTCCAAATAAGATGACTAGGGGAGAAATGACAGTGTCCTACAAATCTAAAAGCCTGTCATATACAACTGTGAGTCAATTCTACTCTATATTGAATACCACATCAAGGAGCAATAACTGGATATTAAAAGAAAAACAGTTCATGCTGAACATTATATGGAATTTATTATAAGTGTTAAGTAATGAAACAGTTTGCCCTAACAAGTAACAAATTTGCCCTAAAGTATTCCTTGGGGAATTTTTTTTCCAAACATTTGTTCCTGATTTCTTCTCTGACTATGGGATTGGACTAGATGACCTATAAGGTTCTTCCCAACTCATGCATTTCATGAAGGGTTTTTTTTTGTGTGTGTGTGACAATTTCTTATTTTAATAAGTGAGTGATTGCCACTCATTTCCCTAGAAGCCATGGAAAGTACAGAAAGAAGGGAGGTTTATGAATGAAAAACTTAAGAAATCTTAGCAAATTTCTATAGATAATTAATGTGGCTATTAGGAATGTCTCTATCCATAGAGATTTTACAGTACAGCATGTTTACTGTTCTTATTAGAAGCGGGAAGGCATTTGGCTCCTAAGCTGCTGCTGAAATTCAACATGAAGTGATAGGAAGAACCTTGTGTTGCATGAAAGCTTGAAACCTGCATGATAGACAGTCCAGGTGACAACCCAGCAGTGGTCAATTACAGTTAACAGAATTGACAGGATGTGTCCTGAGATGGATGTTTCTGTTCTTGAGAATCTAGGACAGAACATTCTCTGATTTAAAGCTGTGACTTTATTTCTACAGGGCTTCACCAAGTCAAGAAGAAGAGTTTTTGCAGGATGTTGCTTTCTGTTCCAGAGAGCTACTTGCTGACTTCTTCATGAAATAAACTCCCAGTTGCAGAAAGATGCTTAGCAGCATCCTTTTAAAATTTTCCCCTTGGGTGTGTGTAGTCCACATTTCCCCAGAGTCATTAACTGAATATTGTACCTTGACCTTGAAAGTGACTTTGATAGGTCTCTATTTCTTATTATAGTACTGTTGATTTGATAAACAAGTGAATTATAGAATAGCAGTAACATTTCCAGACCATTCTCTGTATGTTTATCTGGGATCAAGTCCTGAATTTGTGGGCTTATCCAAATTACATGATTACAGGACAAACATTTCATAAATTGGAGCACAAACTTAAAGGATCAAATTAGATAAATGGCTACTGAAACACATTTCCCCCCCCCCCTTCTTGTTTGGATTTTCTTTTCCTTTTTGTGGCAATAGAATTCTTCCCCTACCCACTTCAACTACCATGCTGCTTGTCACAAATTTATAATCAGTGCAAATGGAAGCATATTTACCAATAATAAATCACTTTAGGTGTATTTAGTAAACATAACTAGGAACAGGCAGAAAAATATATAATACAATGATATTCTCTGCAAAATTGCCAGCTTTATTCATTGTGTGAAAAAGTTTAAAAGCTGATTTTTGCTCTTCAAGTTATACTTAGAAATTGGTCAGGCTAGTGTATATAGTTGGTTTGCAATTTTCATCTCTGCAGATGCAATATCAGGTGCTGTTAAGTTGCTATTAGGAAGTTTAGGTGAAGAGATATGATTGATAACAGTTCCTTTGTGACTTATATTACAATTGAAAGCCACATTTAGAAACCCTACTGATATTAGTGGCTCTTCCAAGCATATATATGTTGAGATGACATTCACTATCCATTCTTCATGAGGTTTATAGCTACTTTCTAGTTTTTTATTTATTTATTTTTATTTATCAAGAGATTATAAGCTAACAGGTATGTATAAACATAGTTATGAATACATGAAATGGATACATATAAGAAAAATAAAAAGAAACAATAGGACAGGGACGGTAGGCACATTGGTGCGTTTATGCACGCTCACTACAGACCTCTTAGGAAAGGGGTGAGGTCAATAGTAGACAGTCTAATGTTAAAGTTTTTGGGGTTTGGGGAAGAAATCACAGAGTCAGGTAGAGTGTTCCAGACATTGACCACTCTGTTGCTGAAGTCGTATTTCCTGCAATCAAGTTTGGTGCAGTTTACCTTGAGTTTGTATCTATTGTGTGCTCTTGTATTGTTATGGTTGAAGCTGAAGTATTCATTGACAGGTAGGACATTGCAATATATAATTTTATTTACTATACTTAATCGGACCGAAGGCAGCATAGTTCTAGGTTTTCTAGGTCTAGAATTTCAAGTCTGGTGACATAAGGTGTTCTGCAACGAGTAGAGGAGTATAGAACTCTTCTTGTGAAATATTTCTGGACTTTCTTAACTGTATTAATATCAGATACGTAATGCAGGTTCCAGACTGATGAGCTATATTCAAGTATTGGTCTAGCAAATGTTTTGTATGCTCTAGTTAGTAGTGTGATATTACCAGAGAAAAAGCTACGTAAGATTAGGTTAACAACTCTTAATGCCTTTTTGGCTATGTAGTTACAGTGGGCTCTAGCACTTAGATCATTAGAGATGAGTATTCCAAGGTCCTTGACAGAGTTTGGATCACAACAAGGTCTTGACTATTCAGCTTGTATTTTATTTTCTGATTTTTTTTTTGCCAATATGTAAGGCAGAGCATTTATTTGTTGAGATTTGAAGTTGCCATTTGTTTGACCATTCTGATACATAGTCGAGGTCTTTTTGAAGGGTAGCAGTATTTTCTGTGGTGTTGAATAGCTTTACATCATCAGCAAAGAGAACACAGTTGCTCTTAATATGATCACAGCGGTCATTTATGTAGAGTATGAAGAGAGTTGGTCCTAGAACACTGCCTTGGGGGACACCACTGTTGACAGATACAGAATTTGATAGGACGCTCCCAATTTTGACCATTTGTTGTCTGTTTGACAGGAATGCTTCTATCCAGTTATTCAGTTGTCCAGAGATACCATAAGATTTTAGTTTTAGGAGTAGTTTGTCGTGTACCACTGAATCAAAGGCTTTACAGAAGTCTATGTAGATTGTGTCTATTGCTTTGCCCTGATCGAGTTGTGTAGTCCACATATTTTTGTAGTGTAAGAGTTGCAATTACAGGATAGTTTTTTTCCTGAAACCAAATTGTTTATTGGAGAAACCAAATTTATTAGAGAGTAGGTTGTTTGTCTTTAAGTGGAGGATAATGGATTGGTTAATAATTGATTTCATGACTTTACAGGTGACACAGCATAAAGAGATTGGTCTATAATTTTCAACTAGG